CGGAGAAAGTCGACGTGGAAAAGTGTAAAACGCGTTTTTCGCGTGTTGTTTTGCTGCGGCTGTAAAACCGCCCGGAGCTAATACTATTAGCACAGCCCACGTGGGCCGAAGACGACGGACAGGATGACGGCGACGCAAAGGGGGGGAGGATGAGGGAAAGAGCACGGAAGGTGCGCGGCGGTAAGTCACCATCGCACGTTCTCCGACCACCATCAGCGAGACGGGTTCGCGGGCGTAGCGCGCTCGGCCGTAGTTGACGCGCGAGACCCTCTGGCGGCTCGGCGAGCGCCCGGTTGCAGTTACGGTCACGCGGAGCGACGGACGACAACGACGACGACGCGGCGGCTATAGCATAGGTACGGACACTGGCAACGATTCCGCCCCGACGGTACCAACGATGACGGCGATGGCGACTCGCTTCGACGGAAACGGCGGAGACTTTGGCACGGGGTGGGTCAGTGGTGTAGAGATTATGTGTTAGGAACACGGACGTGAGCGGCGCCGGACCCGAGGGAACTGAGACTAGTTAGGTTAGTTAACTGGTTCGGCGATGGTCATTGGACGAAGACGCGGCTGAAGGGACGACGCCAGGACGAAAATTACCGGGAGTCAAGGATCCGACGACTCTCGCCTTTTCGTCCCGCGGCAATCCCACATCGGCCGGGTCGCAAACTGTTCCGCAGCACAAAATCTCTGTTCACTCTCTCCACGTGTCTATTGGTTTTCGCCGTCCGTCACAGAGTCGTCACCGTCCACAACCGTCGACGCGCACGACATCGCGCACTATAGCCGCCGCTTGTCGTCGTCAACCGTAGTCGCTCCCGTGGCCGTCTCAGTCTGGCCTCGCCAGCTGGGCAAGGTCGTCACGCGTCCGAGCAAACGCGCCCGTGACACTCGTCAACCTGGGGGACCGGTCGTGGGGACGTGCAGAGGTGACCAGTGGCCACATCATTGCATATCCGCACCAAATCGCCATCACGTATCCTCCCCTCCTAGTTTATTGTGTCTCCTGTCCGTCGTATTTTTTTTCCATTTAAATTTTCTTTACTTATATCGAATAATATTGACTTTATAAATTTCGGCTTTTTCTTTTTTGTTCTAATTTTTTTTGAACATACAAAATTGTATAATATAACGGAAACCGTTTCCAAAATTGTTTCCGTTTTTGAAATTATATTCAAAATTAAAAATGTCATATTGTTTTTGTTCGATAAATAAAAAAAAAAATGTGTGAACACAAAAAACTATTGTTGCTTTTTTCGTATTGTCGACTGTCGAAAGTATAAATCAATTTTTACAATATAATAAAATATTGACTTGAGTTGTAATATTCTAATCTCAACAAATCTTGTAACAGGTATCTACTGTACTATTGGAAATCACTTTTCGACGGTATGAGTGTTTTGACAATTGTACAATAATATAATTATAGGCATAACCGCACAATAAGTGGTTCGACCTTTATCGAGTACCGAGTGAAAGTGTAATACATTTGCCAGGTATATAACATAAATTCTCAGACATGGCCAAAATAATATTATTCTATATTGTCATCACTCTTCATTATTTGTCGGTAATGTTTTCTTCCATACCATGTTTTAGAACAATTTTCAAGTCACAATAAAACAAAAAAAAAAATCATAGCACATTCCTATCGTAATAATATTATAATTTATAATATGTATTAATTAAAAATGCTTTAACTTACTATTAAGATTTCCTATGTATCGTTAGAGTTGATATTATTATCTGTCGTGACTCGTGAGTCTATTTTGGTACTCATATAACCCTATAGATAATATGGGCCACGAGTATTAACATTGCTTATAATGATTAGGTAATGATTAATTATACTTGTAGGCTGTAGTAGGTAGGTATATAAATTAAAAATCTTCATCATATTATGGGAAATAAGCGAAGGTATACTACCGTAAGTACCTATATGCAAACAAATTTACATTAATTAAAACGTGACAAAATGTACATAAAAAATATGCAAATTGGTTATATTTGTAAAAATAAATTTACATAAATGGGTATGGATATCTATCTATATAGTTTGCAGGATGAAGAATAATCAATTTTATTACGAATAGGTATTTGCATACTTTCTTTGTTTTTGATATTTATAATTATAATTATAATTTATTTATATGTATCAATGCCATTAAAGCCTGGGTTAGAAAACGATTTATTGAACTTAATGCTTATAAATCTAAATTCATGTTTTTTTCATATAAATAATTCTAAAGTCCCTTTAAATTTTAAAAGATGATATCACCTATTATTATAGCTACAGTTGCTTAAGTAAAATACATACGTCATACCTACTTGTAAATTGTAATTGCAATAATATACTCGAAAATGTTTCTAAAATTAAATATTTTGGCATTATCTTCGATCATAATCTTAAACGGAAAGAGTCCATATTTTATTGTATTTGTAATTTGTAGTCTTATTATAAATACTAGCTCTAAGTGTAACTCGGAGCCCGTCGGACTATATAGAGTATACCTGCACATAGAGTGGTATGTGCCGTAGCATGACCGGTGCTTTATCTTATGTAAAAAGTGTAAAGTCGAAAACCTTGTTGGAGTTTCTAGCAAGTCAGTCATCTCAAGTTAAAATCTATTAACTTTCAAGTTAGCCACTTAGGTAGGCAATCCGCGGACAATGTGCTACAGCAAATCAGGTAGGCAATCCACCTGAGGTGGATTGCAGACCCGACGTCAAGCGGCTATAAGTGAAAACCCTATCACACAACTTACGAAAAATTCAAACTATATACAATATACATACAAACAAATATGATATGTATTTATTGTGTGATATAATATAACAATGAACATTTTGAGAAATGTGCAATTATAATTCCTAAAAAAAATTAACATATAGGTAGATAGTTAGATACATACCTACTATTATATTAACCAATACAATAGGTACATATAAACATGTACCATGTGTTACCACAGTGTTTATATATTAATTTAAAAAAAAATGCAAAAACCTGCATGTTAAAGTGTCTATCAAGTCAATTATCACCGTTTAAGACGAAACTAAAATGAGCAATCCGTCTATCACCTATATGTAGTAGGTATATCACATAGAGTGGTATGTGCCTTCGCATTTTCTTCTGGCAGTCACGGTGTGGGGAGAGAGAGGTCGACATGGCGACATCCCCCACCTGGGCATGGCAGATACCTACGAGTGTGTTTGTTTTGGCAGAATTTTTAAGTGGACACCATAGGCGTGTTCAGACTTTGATGGCCAGCTATAGGGTGCACAACAAATTTTTAAACTGTGAGACTTTTTATAAGCATTTAAAGTTCAAATCTTGACAAAATACATAAAATTAACGAAAATGTGCAAATTATTTTGAGTTGGAAATTCATAAAAAAATTACTTTTTAAATCTTAGATTTTAAAATGTAATATACAAAATTCCTAATAAAAAAAAAACGTCTACAAGAAAGTCAAATTAAATTTTTATAAGCGTTTATAGTTTTACAAAGTTTTATATTCACTCGATCTCTCATGTAACGATTTTGTTATTTTGTTGTAATTCAAAATCGAATAACTGTAGATACATGCAAATTTCACTGATTGTTTATATTCTTATTTTCCATAGACCATACAATTTTGAAAATATGTTGACTCGTTTTGAGCTGTTTACGGACAATTAAAAATTTCAATTTTTTTTCTATAAATATCAATAAAATTTTATTTGTTGGGCCAAAAAGTGTGAAAAATGAATACAAGGCTCCTGATATATTGATACAATAACAGTTTAAAATTATTAAAAATACATATTCACAATTTTTATCAATTTTTTAGCAAGTTTTGCATATATAATATAGCGTACATTCAAAATTCTCATATAACTCAGTTAAAAACTGAACTATCGTGTAAAACCCACATACAAACACAGATTTACCATCAAGTTTCATAATTAGTTGATTCATTCTAATTTTTAAGCCAACGGATCTGCTGAGCGTTAATTTACTGTGATATGCACTTGTAAGGAGACGACAAATATCCATGTAGCGTCCTCTTAAATAAGTTTAATAAATCACTGATATTTTATGTTATTTAAGTTTTGATTATGTAAGATTTGTTTTTGATTTAATAAAACGATTCAAATTTGTACCATAGATATTATAGAATGGATAGCCCATTTATGATTATAACACAGGAACGAACATTAAATTACAGAGGACTTTTCCCAAATAAATTGATGTATAAGTGTATATAAATATTAAATATAGCATGACAAGACCTCTAATAGAAATTAGAATGAGAGGCAATGATAAAAATAGTCTTCCTCTCTTCCCCATCACGGCACGCTTCTCTTTATATTGTTATTACAGCCATGGCCTATCCATTCTTCAATATCTATGATATGTACCTACGTAACGGATAACTTGTAAATCTATTATTTATACAAAGTATTATCTTTTTATTGATGACAAATTTTAAGGAGTTCAGTATAGGCAATACTGTAGGCGTTTACGTTTAAATACTACAAGTTTGAGTAGTAAATGATAATTATTAGTGTAAAAGTGTGTGTACATAAAAATGCAGTGTCGGCCTGTCACATCTAAGGCCCATGAATCAGTTATTTTACAGTATTTCTTGACGGGAACATTTTATATTATAATACATACCTATATATTTAAGATATAAAATAAGTTAATTACAAAATGTAAAACTTCCTGAATATAAACTATCATCTAATACACTAAATCCACAATGACTTCTATAAACTAAGGTGTCTAACAAGGATGTCACACAACTTTGTGATTTTAAAGATAAATCAATAATTAAAAGTTCGTGTTCAACGTCCGACCGTTCAACACGTGTGTTCTCCTATAGTATCGCATTTATAGCTATCGATAGCAGTAACACACCAGTCTGTTTTAAAACTCAGCGTTGCAGGTAATATGATTATAATTATTGCCTTAATTACACCAATTAAATAAATATTCCAAACCTATTACGATGGGCGATAAGCCCACTACCACAACCACCATATCTGACGATATGAACAACACAAACAGTGCTTCCCAACATATACGTAATACTGCATCATTTGCAGATATAGCCTCCAATGTTACATTACCGAAAATGAACCAAGCAATCGTTTTTAACTCTATTAACAACATCAAACAAATCGAATACGTTATCGCAATCAGTAAAATTATACCCGCAGAAAATATTCAATTTGTATCACGCATTTCAAATAATCGATTCTGCATATTCTTTAACAGTCAAGCCGTCATGGAAAATCTACTCAAAACTCACTCTACAATCCATGTCAATGAAACAGAAATCCCCATCCGTAGACTTATAAATGCGTCCAAAAGAATCATTCTATCCAATGTTTACCCTACTATCCCAAATCACCTTATACTAAACGCTCTCCATGAAATAGGAATTAAAACCACTTCCCAAATCTCTCATATGAAAGCTGGTTTTGCAACAGAACAATTCGCGCATATACTAAGTTTCAGAAGACAAGTATACATTAATCAAGACAGTGTATCCAAACTACCTAGTTCAATCACAGTAACATTAGAAAACACTACCTTTAGAATATTTATTACCGATGACACCGTAACTTGTTTTCAATGTCATAAAACCGGTCATTTTTCAAGCCAATGTAAAAATATACCAGAACAATTCAATATCATCGATATGACCGAAACCTATATGGAAGAAACCAACGACCTATCACCAACCCTAAATGTAGGAAAAAATGTATCTCTCTCGCCACCTGCTAGTGTTAATGCTCAAAATATCTATTCTACTCAAAATAACGTTCCTTCAACACCAAACCAAGCAAATGATAATGGTGATCTAATCACTATCGATCAACCCAAAAAACCCTCTCTAGCCGAAAAACTCAAATCATCATCCAACAAAATTGTCAACGTAACTTCTCCAAACCCAGTTAAACGTCCTGCCCCGTCAACCACGTCTCAACCACCATCTCCAACATCTTCGCACTCATCCAACCCGCCTTTAATAATGAAGCCTCCCAACGCACCTGAAGGAAAAACCCAACCATCAAAAAACCCTAATGGAAAAGTACACAAAAAACCGAAAGTTAGAACCAGCACCAGTTCAAATGATAGCTTCTATTCAAATATCGATGTAGGGTTAAATCCAAGCAAAGATCTGTTCAACTCCAACCCTCAAATGTCCTTATCACTCAATCAATTTAAAGATTTCTTCGAAAACTCGCAAGGTTGCACTGATCTCGAGAGTTTATGTATGGAGCACAATAGCAGTCCAGAAAATATAATCCAAATCATTACAAACATCTACCCTGTCATAACAATCAAAAGTATTAAAAACCGTCTAACCAGATTATCAAAAGCACTCGAAAAAGTTCGAAACATAAATTCTAGTCAGACTTCCTATGCTGACAGCAATGATGACGAAACCTACTAGATTGTTCGATATCCATTCACCTACTACGTACCAAATAAACTAAATATCAAACCTATCATGACAATTAATAACAGTCTTAAAATACTTCAATGGAATCCAAATGGATTCTACTCCAAATTAGACGAAATCAATTTACTATTAAACAAATACTGTCCAATCTCAATATGTCTACAAGAAACTAATTTTATCAACGACAAGGTCTGCTCCCTAAAAAACTACACAACATACTACAAAAATAGAACCAATGCTGGCAGAGCCAGTGGTGGCGTGGCAATCTATGTAAATTCAAATTATCACTCCGAAGAAATTATCATTAATACCAATCTAGAAGTGGTTGCAGTAAATGTTTTAATCAAAAATTCAATAACAATCTGCAATTTATATCTACCAAACTCTCAAAATTTTGAGCAATCCGATATTCAAAACATTATTAATCAACTCCCCTCCCCTTATATTCTCTTAGGAGACTTTAACAGCCACAGTCCTTTGTGGGGCTGCTCCACTCTTGACTCACGAGGATCAAAAATCGAGCAAACACTATACAGCAACAATGACCTCAATATACTTAACAGTGGCCAAGCTACAAGAGTTAGCGCAAGCACGGGACACTTTTCAGCCATCGACCTTTCATTCTCATCAGCTACAATCACTCCCTACATAGATTGGGATGTCATACCAGAATTATCAAGCAGTGACCACTTTCCTATCATTATGACGCTAAATCACACAAACTCCCATAATCAGTATACTAGAAAAAAAAAATGGAAATTAAAAAATGTCGACTGGAATATATATCAAACGGAAATTGATAAAAATATTGACTCAACTCCTTGGACTCATACTAATAATGTAGAAGATAAGATAAAACTCTTCACCGACCTCATTATAAATACAGCCTCTGACGTTTTCGAATTAACTAGTTACTCTGGAAAGAGACCTCCAGTCCCTTGGTGGAATAAAACAATTAAACAAGCTATACGGAAAAAAAAGACTGCCTTTAACAGATACAAACGAACCTTAGACCTACAAGATTTTATACAATTTAAAAAAAACAAAGCGCTAGTCAGATACCTTATTAAAAGTGAAAAAAAAAAGTCATGGATAAATTTTACATCTAGTTTAAACAGTCATATTTCCCCAACCTTAATGTGGAATAAAATTAAAACATTAAAAGGAGTCCCTTTTACACAAATAAAAACACTGTTGGTAGGGCAAACCGTTTTTACAGATCCTAAAGAGATAACCAACCAAATAGGACAGTTTTTTTACTCTAACAGTAGTAACTCTAGTTTGAATCCAGACTTTTTGAAATTTAAAGAAACGCAAGAATTGATTACCTTACCGAGCCCCACAACAGCAACAAGTCAAGGTTCAATTCTCAACGATCCTATCACAATGTCAGAACTTAACTCTAGTCTTGAAGGGAAAAAAAGTAACAGTTGTGGACCAGACAACATACCTTTCTTATTTCTCCAGAACATCTCCATTAAAGGTAAAATCCTACTCCTCGAGTTGTATAACAATGTTTGGTCGTCCGGCATTATACCATCGTTATGGAAAAATGCTAGCATTACCCCTATTCCTAAGAAAGAGCAAGACAAACATAAACCTTCAGGATATCGCCCTATTTCTGTCTTATGTAACCTGAGCAAAACACTTGAAAAAATAATTTTTAACAGGCTTAATTGGTATGTACAAAGATTCAATCTGTTATCTCCAAACCAACACGGATTTAGGAAATCTCACTCCACTTCTGATTGCCATGTTAAAATTGAAACAGAAATACTAGAATCTTATGCCAACAAACAAACCATGATTCTCATTAGTTTAGACCTTCAGAAAGCTTATGACACAGTCTGGCGACATAGAGTTTTAAATATACTGAGGAAATGGCACATTAATGGGCAAATGTTACAATTCATAACAAGTTTTCTTAAAGAACGTTCTTTCCAAGTAAGAATTAATGAACACATGTCAGATAAATTTGATCTCGAGAACGGAGTCCCACAAGGATCCCCCCTGAGCATTCTACTTTTTCAAGCTGCAATCAACAACCTACCTGATGAAATTTCACATCCCGTCAAATCAATTATGTTTGCCGATGACACACATATTTATCTCAAAGGGAAAAACATTAAATCAATGACACGTCAACTCCAAGATTGCCTAAATGATCTGTCCAAGTGGTGCTTCCACTCAGGTTTTATTTTCTCACCAGAAAAAACCAAATGTATAATGTTTACCAAAAAGAAACAAAGTTTAAAACCAAAGTTATTTTTGGGAAACACACCCTTACCTTTTGTAAACAACATAAAAATTCTAGGTTTGATTTTTGATAGCAAGCTTACTTGGAAACCTCATATAAGTAAGACCAAAACAACCACGACCAAAAGTATCAATATCTTAAAAACGTTGAGCCACGCTGAATGGGGAGCTGAAAGTAATATATTAATCAACTTATATAGATCTCTCGTTAGGTCCAAATTAGACTATGGATCCATCTGCTATACCAATACAAACCCTAATATTCTTAAAACAATTGATATAATTCACAACAGCGGTCTAAGAGTTGCAACTGGAGCATTTAGAAGCAGCCCCATTCCAAGTATATTATCTATCTCTGGAGAACCTCCCCTTCACATTCGTAGAATCAAATTAGCTCTAAATTATATTGCTCGCATCCTATCTTCCCCAGAAAACTCAACATTACCATTTTTAACACAAAATCGTTTTGAAAATACATTTTGCTCCAATCCGAATCTAAAAAAACCACTGGGTTTAAGGATGTTATATGAAATGTCACACACCAATATTGATCCTAATTTAATTATCAAACGAGAATGCAGTGTGGTGCCTCCTTGGAGGGTTCCAAAATTTCTTGTGGACACTAGTCTAGCGGATCATAGTAAAAAAGAAACGTTAAATGTTATGTATAAAAATTTATTCAATGAAATCATGGACTCTTTTCCATCTGAACCACAAATCTATACAGATGCATCCAAAACAAACTCAGGTGTTGCGATCGCTATCATAAACGGAGAGCAATCCATATCGTACAAATTATCAGACCATAACAGTATATATACGGCGGAATACTTTGCACTCCTGGAAGGAGTCCACCTAGCATTTCAACTACCCGATTCCACCATTAACATTTGTACAGATTCGCTCAGCGCTCTAAACAATCTGAAATATAATTTACACTCAAGCATCCTAGCAATCAAAATAAGCAACATCATTGAAAAAGCCAACAAGAACATACGGTTTATATGGACACCTGGCCATTGTGGAATTGATGGCAATGAGAAAGCTGACAAAGTAGCTCGTGAAGCAGTAAATAACCCTCTGACCGAAATACGCACGTACTCCTCACTCATCGACATCCATAGGAATGTCAACACCTTTTGTACCAGTTTATGGGAATCTGAATGGCGTCGTACAACCAATAACAAACTTAGAGAAATAAAAAATACTACCGAATACTGGCCTAAGCCCCATACATCAAATCGCAAAGATGAAGTAGTTATCAATAGATTACGTATAGGTCACTCTAAGATGTCCCATGGACATCTTATGCGCAGAGAAGAACCAGCAATGTGCCTAACCTGCGGAGAACCTCTCACAGTCAAGCATCTCCTTATCCACTGCCGTATCCATATAGATACCAGAAAAATTCTAAAATTGCCCGACAACCTCTTTGAAGCCCTCAGCCCTATCCATTACAACACCAACAAAATAATCTTATTTTTAAAACAAATCGATATGTATAACTTAATTTAAGAATTTATTGTATAACTATACTCTATTATGTACTAATACCAATTTTTGTTGCAAGCTAATAACCTTAGCAGTTGATGCTGTACCATTAATAAAAAAAAAAAAAAAAAAAAAAAATAATTAAAAAAAACTTTTAGAAAGAGTAACAAAATATTCTTTAATAATAAGGTAAGCTTATTCACACAAAAATAATCCATCAAACTGGTTGCTGGTAAATGCTGCTGCGACAAGTTAGGTGTTGGGTCATACACGAGGGTTCCAAGTGAACGTCTGAATACTAGAATAACCTGTAAGATGAAATCAATAAACGTTATTGCTAAGTTAAATTAATCAAAACAGAATAATACCTTTTGACCAGACAATCTAGGTGTATTTCAAATAGTTTGTGGAATAGTTAGCTGTTGTGTCTTAAGTGTATGAAATTGAAAAGCTTCGATTAAATAATCTTTAACTAAATAAATAAAATTATAACAATAACTACACACAATTAAATGTATAATAAAAAACATATTTTGAAGAAAAAAAACATACTTTTAGGAATATTTTTAAAAAGAGGTTCATTTGACTACATTCATTGTATACGCACTAATGATGCTAAAGGCAACGTACATGTTCCATTACTTTCGCTAAACTATCATATCTAACATTTAATTCATGCTTTACCCAATTAATAACATATTCATACACCTAGAACAAATACATTAAATATTAAAATATATTAAAATGTAGTTATACAATATCAGCAGCTCAATCTTTTTTTGTAAAGAATCACATATTTATTTATTATACCACCCACCCAAAAAACTATATCACATTGTTCAAAATTTAATGAAAGCTGGATTTTAGAAGTTAAAACTATACTCTGTTCCAAAAGATAATAATTCTCAACAGGCAACTAGTTTTTATACCAAGAATAACATGTATCTGACCACCTATCGGATGAGTATCAAGTGACTTTTTGTTATTGTTCAGAAATAATCATTGGAATTTCCGCTGCCTCAATGATTACTGAAAAGGAAAAATAGTGGTCCGCACCTTTGCAGACATCATTCCACCTGCGCAGAACTGGTATACAAGTGCCTGCAGGATAAAATAAAAGAAAGACTTCTAAATTATAGCACAAGTAGCACCCTATAGTAAATAGCAATAGGGTTCTTTTGGAACAAAGTGGAATATCATTTTTGTTCACCAGGTGTGTTAAAAAGCTCTTTAGTTGCTCTTTGTGTATTATGCCAAGAAATAATTATTTTATTTTTAAGGGTTTAATTAATCAATTTCACATATAATATTTTGATAACATCATATAGTGTTTGTTTTTCTTAAATTAAAATATTGTTAATCAATAATAATTCTTGTTGGTAGGTAGTTTCAGAATATTATTTAGTTTTAACATTTATTCACAGTTGCACACCTAAATTTATGGTGGGTCATTCAGTTATTGTAGTTAATAGAGATTTAATACTTAAAGATTAACATAATGTTTAAGACTGAAATTACAATAAAGATTATTTTATTTTTTTAAATTGTGCGATTTCTACTCTCTATTTTAGTTTAGGGTTTTCACTTTATCTGACATGGTACAACCACCAATTCAAACATTTTTTTGTGAAACATGGGATAAAATATACTTCCATCAAGCCACAACTGAATAGGGTATTATTAATAATAATAATAATATGCATGTAAAATGATCGCTCATCTAATGTAATAAAATACTATACACTAGGTTTACTAAATTTACTTACTTTTTCTTCAGGGGCGTTAAGAGCATTACCAGAGATTAGCTTAATCAACTATTCAGTGGATAGAGATAGAAATTCATCATCTTTAACCACATCTCTGAAAATAATAATGATCAATCTTACATATTATTTAACGACAAAATTAGAAAATGTGATTAAATTTATCATACAGAAACTTTTTTCCAATGCATGCTTCAGAACTTGATAAAAATTCCGAACAGTGATGTAGGTAAATCAGCAGATGATCTAATACCAAGACAATTGGTTGGATTTAGTTGTTTCTGTAAAAACTTGGCACATGCGCCTTTTACATAGTCTAACCATAAGACATTTGTAACAAAACCTGGAGAAATCAACAATAATGCATTTAAATGATGTTGATGAATGTCCAAAACAAATCAAATATTTATTATTACCTGTACATTTTCTTTGCTGATCACGATCTTCCCACTATAAATATAATCTACCAATTTATTGTTTAAAAACGGTGGAATCTAGTTCTCGTATATCAACAATATCTTTTTTATTTTCACTAAAATTAGCGAACATAGCCCGGAAGTATTGACTAGCTGATATTAATACAACTTTGTGTCCAAACACAATTGTATCGTCATTAGCTTTCAGCCTTATATCACGTATTATACTTCATATCTAAAACAGACATTTTTTATGAATATATTTTATTCTACCAGCATTTAATATTTCATAACATACTCACAGAAGATTGCAGAAGTTCAAATACTTTAACAGTGTGAGTGATATTTATACAATTTGTTGATTTGCATTCATTAGATTTCGGAACACCGATCTCATCACCTTCACAATATGATGAACAGTGTATGGCATTCATCTCGTCTATGAACAAAACGCGTTTTAAAATATGATGGTTGATAATATAATATTATGTAATTGAGCCATATCCATTTAATATAGAAATATAATGATACTAGAATTGGACTCAAATTATTACATTATTATTTATTATTACTTATTTAGGTACTTACTACAGTAGACGTTAGTACTTGAGAGTTGAGAGTATCCGATGTTGTGATTGAGCGTTTGAACATTGATATCATAGACCTATTAGCTATTATTTATTAACTAAACTCTAAAGTCTAAAGTAATTAGTAAACTAACTTAGTTAACAGGTCTAGTTATATCATGCAGGTATATTCACGATCGTATAATAAATAATAATACGGTCTGTGAACCAGACAGTAAATAAAAACGGTTTATCCATAAACATATTAACAGTTAATAATTAACTAAATGGACTGCGCCTTGGGCAACAATTAATAAGCCAACATCAGATAAGCAAAAAGGGGTATCAGGGAAGAAAATATTACATATACTTCGTTTATTCCATGAATATAACGACTGATAAAAAAACAGTAAGTGATAACGCTGTTTGTTTTCATTTATCACCTCGTGAGTCGTGACTTCGTGTTCTACTGTCGTTGTGACAGGTCCTTAATTTTGCGATAATTGAATTTTGACTTCATAATATTTGAATTTTTAACTGTACTAATTACTTTTAGTGTAGAGTATATTTAGTTTTAGTTATTATTGTCTTTGGTTGTATATCACAATGGTTAAGATTTGCTCGATTCCACTTTGTAAAGGTGCTTCATCAAAACAATGCAACATTAAACTACACAAGTAAGATATTAATATATATGTTTCACTTGTATCGTTAGTCATAGATTTATGTTTTTTGTTAAAAGGTTTCCAGCTGACGAAAATCTCAGAAATATATGGGAAAAGTGTATAAAATCATATTATCCTAATTTTAAAACTAACCATAGCAGTTTAGTGTGTAGCAAACACTTTAGGGAAATTGATTTTATTAAAACTGCAAGATCTCAATCCTTTTCACTTATTAAGAGCGCAGTACCCTCATTATTTGATGTTGAAGAATGTGTTTACGTTTTCAACAAAGAACAATATGATAGTTCGAATACACATGAACCATCCCACATTGTTGTTCAAGATACGACAGAAAATATGAGCTATAGTGTTATTACATTATCACAATCAGATCTCCAAGGTGATAGTTTGAATATTACAGGGATATCTCACATTGAAGCTGTAGAAGAAATTATACCAACAATAGATGACAGTTCGGATTTAGTTTGTGAACCTAGTGAAAATGTTCAAGTTACTCCAAAAAAAATGGCCAGTACTATGTAAATATAAATTTTAATATTAAAATAATAAATATGCCATTCTTCATTAAAATGTTATACTAATTTTAAAATTTTCTAGGAAAAGAAAAAGCTTATTTGGTGATTTTAATGTTGAAGATCTAAGAACTCCAACAAAACGCAAACGATATTGGAATGTATCTCAAGCAACTGTAAGAGACTTCAAAATAAAAACAAAAAGTCTGCAGAATAAAAATACATGGCTAAGAAAGAAGATAAAAAATCTATCGCAGTTGATTAATCATCTTAAGGAAGAGAAAAAAATTTCTGATAACTGTTTCACTATCCTTAAGGTAGAAATAGCGAATTAATTAAATATTTTGTTAACATTGTACAATATTTTAAGATTTATTTTAGGAGAATCTACCTACTGCACAGAGAGAGAGATGATTATGAAACAATTGAAACGTAACACTGAAAAGAAAATTTCACCTGAACTTAGGGCTTTTGCATTAACACTTAATTTTTATTCAGCTGCAGCATATAAATATGTAAGACAAGTGTTTAACAATTGTCTTCCACATCCATCAACGTTACGCAAATGGTATGCTGTAATCAATGGATCACCTGGCTTTACCAAAGAATCCATAAATGCTCTAGAAATTAAAAAACCAAATATTAGTATGTGGTATGATGATGGATGAAGTCAGTATTAAACAGGGTACACATTTTAATGGCACAAGGAACCAAGGCTACATAAGTTTAGGAACCGGTATAAATGATGATACTGATGCTCTTCCATTAGCAAAAGAAGCACTCGTCATTATGCTTGTTGCTATTAATTCTAATTGGAAAATTCCAATCTGCTATTTTTTACTTAATGGTTTATCTGGAGAAGAAAAAGCAAATTTAATTAAAACTGCTTTAACCATTGTCCACGATACCGGTGTTCTTGTGAAGACCTTAACATTTGATGGAGCAGCCTCAAATATTTCAATGGCTACTTCATTAGGAGCTAGACTGTATCCTCCAGATGTAAAAACATATATCTTGCACCCAATCACTGATGAAAAAATATTTATATTTTTGGATCCATGTCACATGTTGAAACTATGTCGGAATACGCTTGGTGACTGGCAAACATTGTACAATAAGGATGGACAAGAGATTAAATGGGACTTATTTAAGCAGTTGGTAATTTTACAAGAAAATGCTGAACTACACTTGGCCACCAAAATAAGATCAAGACATATCAATTTTTTCAAAGAAAAAATGAAGGTCAAGCTTGCGGCTCAAACATTGAGTGAATCTGTTGCTAAAGCCCTGACATATTGTAGTGAACAAAATTTTTCTAATTTTCAAAACACCAATGCTATACAAAATGTACGTCTTAGAGATACACTATTTAAGTATAAGATGCTTTTATATTATTATTGTTGTTTAAAATTGATTGATTCCTATTTAGTTGACACTTATTGAAACTTTAGATTACGAGACTTATCCGCCCACGAGAAACACCAAACACAAAACTTGCAAAGAGAAATCGAAGAAATGACCAAACAATGTAATGATTTACAAAAGTCTAATGAAGAACTAGCATCTCAAGTTAATGATTTGCATGAATAGGTTTTATATTAATTTTTAAATAGATAGTTTCCAAGTATTAATATATTATTATATTTTTTAGGTTGATGCAGCTTTAGAAGTAGAGGAATTAGTTGAGCTTCTGGGTTAACAAAAATAGAATTTGGAAGATAAAGTGGTAGAATTAGAGAAAGCAGTGACTGATCTAGAAGCAATACAAGATATTAATGATCAACTCCAAGAAGATAGTACAGAGTTGGAAATGCAATTACGTAAAGAATTAGATATGGCAAATGCTAATATTAGAGAGGTTTTAAAAAGTATTAATAGCAAACATTTTATTTTTATTTATACCTAAGTCATATTTATTTTAAAGTGTGTCAAAGGAAAAGGACAAGCATTGGAAAGTTTAGCTGTACTTACTTTATATTAATTGGATGAAACCCAACAGCAATTAAAAAGAAAGTCAAAAGAATAAGAAGAAACGATGGACCATTTGCAAGCAGATATTGATTCACTAGAAACAGAAAAAGGAGAATTAAAAAATAAACTTAAACATTTCTCAAAAAAATTCTTATTGAGGGTATTTACAAGTGAGTTACCTATATTTTTATAAGTTAATCCACTTATTTTTATTTATGAAATAGCAATATTATAGTAATGACTGATGAAATATTTGTTGCAATATAATAATCAAAATATTTTACAAACTAAAACCTTTTTCAATTTTGATTTCTAGTTCAATTTAATAACTGCCTTGAAAGTTGGGTGGGTAGGTGGGTGAAATAATAGTGTATACTTCTGAGTCCTTCTGCTATAATTTTACTAAACACAGGAATGTCATTAAATTATGTACATTTAATTAGTAAATTAGTTTAATTAGTTTCACAGTCATTTGAAAGGGTGTTCATTTGGAAGGAGTGGGATGTGTGTTTCAATCAAATTATTTGAACTGCTAGTTTTAATAATTAAGAGGATGTAACACGGGCATTTGTTGTCTCCGTCTAACAATTACGTAACAGCACATTTAAGCTCAGCAGATCACGTATAACTTTGTTAGTTTAAATTTAGAGTGAATGAAACTTGATGGTAAGAAAATTATCTTTGTTTTTATAGGAGTTTTTACTGTAGTTAATTTTTTTAGCAAGTTTTATGTATATAATATAGTGTTAATTAAAAAAGCTCATAACTAAAAATCATGTTTCATAATAGGTCGATTCATTCTAATTTTTAAACTAGAAAAGCTTAATGTTTTATGCTGAGCTTAAATTTCCTAAGTTACTCTCTTGTAAGACAGAGAAAACAAATGCCCGTGTTACGTTCTCTTAATATTTTCATTTATTTGAAGATCACGTATCTGTTTTCAACTTTGCTCTAAACAATTTTGAAAATGTACATGTCCAATTATTTCCATTATTTTCTTGTTGACAAGTCATTTTACACACAATTGTTTACTTGCCTCATATTATTTATAATAAGTCTCATCAAAATTGGTATATTTTAATATCAGTATACATTTCAATATTTCTAAAAATCAATTTTAGATTTTGAGTGGAACGATGAATGTATTGATTTTACATTGATGTGTGTTTTTTTATTTTTTATTATTTATTCAATTTTGTGTCTGTCATCACGGTTTTGGGCCGTAAAACTGCTTCGATTTTCTTCAACAGTATCTTGTTCAATGGAAATTGAATCTAGTTGGTGCATTTGGGAGGTAAAATTTTAAAATTCCCAATAGTTTTGTGCCGGGAAAAACAACATAAAAATTAAGGAAAAACGTGATTTTTTACCCAAAATTTTGGTTTTTGGTGTAACTCTGAAACAAATGAACGTATTACTAACGTATATACATGAAATTTTCACTGCTTGTTTATATTTGCATTTTCTATACATGATAAAATTTTCAAAATATTATGATATGTTTTTAACTGTTTAGTTACATTTGCAGTTTCCCATTTAATTAGTTTTTTTTCTATGAATGTCAATAAAACTTTATTTGTTGAGTTAAAATACTTGAAAATTTAGTACAATGCTCCTTCTATATTGTTACAATGACATTTGAAAAATATTAAAAATCTTAAGTCACAGATTTTTTTCATAAGCATTTAAAGTTCAAAAATTGACAAAATATGGAAAAATCACAAAAATTAGCAAATTCTTTTGAGTTAAGAATTCATAAAAATTTTTTTTTATTGGGTCAAAATGTATAAAATTTTAATACAATGCTCCTGATATATTGTTACAATAGCAGTTGAAAAATATTAAAAATACACAAGCACAGTTTATTTTTATAGTCATTTTTGGATGAAATTCCATATTAAAAAACCTAGCAGGTATAACTATTTTAGTTATTTTGTTGTGATTGCATAATATTATTCGTGGGTACCTACTTGAAACTTCTAAAGTGTACTTATATGTATCTATTACTACGTTTATATGATGGCGTTAAAACGGTTTAAGACTAAACCGTTTTGAAAGTTAAAACGCTCGGACTATGTAGTTTAAAAATTTAAAACCGTTTTATTTGCTGAAACGTTTATATGTACATCTGATAAACCGGTTTAAGCAAATAAAACGGTTTTAAATTCTTAAACTACATAGAGCGAGCGTTTTAACTTACAAAACGGTTTAGCTTTAAACCATTTTAACCCAATGTAGTATCACGGTTTTTTGTTAATGTATAACGCATTATAAGTACTTATTGGATATTGTGATATGATTAATTTTTAATTTGTTATAGGTACCTATTATAGGTCAATATTTTTTAAAATACCATAGATATGTATATATATATGTCTTAAACCTAGACTGATATACCGTGTCCGCTCAAAATCGTTTTTCTTATACAATGATATTATATCATTTAATTCAAATCTAATACCATCGATTATACAGTGACCCACTTGTAACCTACTGTACAGCAGAGCACCTTTTTTGGCTTGTATTAATTTTTAAATAGTTAAACTATGCTTAAAAATTGTTTTGTTTTTGTATTCCTAGTTTACTTCAAGACTCTAGAGATTCACAAAATGATATTTCAAGTATTAATGAGTTACAAGACTGGATGGACTCTAAAAGTCACCTCAGAAAGTACATACTCAGATCTCTTATGGTTTAATTGATGACAATTCAACAAACATGTCAAGGTAATATTGCACTACAATAAAAATTTATTTTAATTAAACATAGTTCCAATTTAAGCTAAAGTAATTCAACCAGTACCTAGCTATAATTGTTGCTATAAAATCATGGGCACATGTGTCGTTTGCTATCTACCAACAAATTGATGGTGTCGTATGCTATCTACCATATCTACGTTATCTACCGTAATTCGTATTGACGTATATTTCTATATATTATATATATTTATAATTCCTTTAGGAATTTCAGAGTTATTTTGTATTTTAGAATTTAGTATGTATGTTCGTTGATCGCCGAGATCAAACGTTGTAGTTGTGTGTTTTTTATTAATTGTAAATTTATGGTTTTATAAAATGAGTACTTTGGGTGAATTATATAGAAAAATTATTTTTAATGACGAAACTTGTATACAATTTTTAAAAGATCGTGATTTATTACCTAATACAAAACTTTATACAAAATTAAATTCTATTGGAGAACAATGTAATGGTGAAATGAAAGAAACTTTAAAAAAAAGCAGGAAACGTGATGTAAACGGAGATATTATTATAACAAAATATTTACGATGTAAAAAAAAGGGTTGTCAAACATGGCAATCCATTCGTAAAGAAAATCCATTTTTTACCTTACATCGACAACAAAT